TTGGAATTTTAGATTGCTTTAGAGAGAATTGATATATTTACACCCCCTGCTAGCTACTATATAAATGGTGCATTTCTCAATGAACATTCAGTTCTTACAAGTTTTAAGTCATATTTTTCAATTTTTGTCTGAATTCTTCCTAGGTTATTTCAATATTCTTTACAGTATTTGATAGTTATAATAATTTCCTCTAGCTACTGTAAGAATTTACCCCAAACTTAGTGACAGAAAGCAACAAGAAATTATCCTCTCACAGTTCTAGAGCTATAAATCTGAAATCAGTTTCACGAGCTTACTCTGGAGGTTCCAGAGGAGAGTGTTTCCTTGCTTTTATGGATTCTAGTAGTGAAAGATTCTTTCACTTGTGACTTCCTTATTCTGAGCTCGGCTTCTGTCTGGGGTAGATCTCCTCCTGCTCCCTTATATAAGGGTGCTCATGGTGGTGTTTAAATTTCATTCAGATGATCCAGGATAATCTCAACATTCCAAGACCTTTGGCCTTAATAGCATCTGCAAAGACCCTCTTTTGTCATAGAATGTGATAGTCACAGGTTACAGAGTTAGGATTAGGATGAGGACATATTTTGGTGGGTCATCTTAAGCCTAACATGATAGTATCAGGATGGTATTCTCTTGTGCATTCTTTAACTTTTGAATATTTTGAAAGAGATATTTAGGAAAGCCATTAGTTTTTGTCTGTTGATCATTGTATCCGTCCATTTTCTCAAACATTTTAATTATTTCTAATAGTATACTGTTTCACAGTTTCTTAAGTAGAGAATAATATCATTTATAAATGGTAAATTTTTCCATTTTCCATAAAATAATACAGGGGTACCTCTGTTCACAAATTTCTTTCCATGATTCTAGTCACAAACCAAATTAGACAGGCTGTGAATTAAATTCAGTGGTTAGGTTAAAAAACTTAAGGACTGTGTTCTATGTGTTACTGCATTGTTTAAGAACCTGATACCATGTTGGATGGCACTTTTGGGGGACAGTCAAGGTCCAAATTATAGCATCTTTCAATCATATCTATGATCTATAAGATTTTGTAAATCTAATTATGCGTTCCTTGGGGTTCTACTTAAAAAGAACTAAGTTCATTTTAGAATCAATTCCTTTCTCTGAGGTCAGGTATCAGAGTATTTATTTATTAATATTATACACATGAATCTGTGCAGGAGATGTGACCATGAGCAAAATGGAGGTGGTCCCTAAGCCAAGCATCATCTTTTGGCTTGTATCATTGTTCCGATGTGCTGTATGCTCTTTTCTATTGCCAGATCTGGATGTCTCGAAATAGAGGTAACAAATGCCTGTACCAGCTGGACTGTGGTTGGGTTCTAAAGATAGGAAACATTTGGATGGAACTGGGGGAGGAAAGGATAGTAAAGACCGTTTTCCTTCTGAGGATGCTGCCATCATCTCCACTGGTCCCTGGAACTTCAGCAGCAGACAGCAAAACACAGGTAGTTCTAGAAGAGAAAATAACAGCAACTATGCAAAATATGTGGGTCCAGGGTTGGTGGCTGCTTCTTGATTTTATGGTGATACTATCATTTTCACTTTGCTCTTTTAAATTAGAGAGATAATGGTTTGGGCATTTGTGGAATAATTTCTTTCTTCTTTTGCTTCTCAAGTTTTCCCCAATATGTTTGAAAATAATTTCTATTTTAATACATTTATTTCTATCTTAATACATCTCTAAAACAGTCCTAGTGATTCTGGTTTCTTGACCGGACAATGACCAATACAGCTCCTAACTCCACAGAGCTTATATATTATAACTGGTTAAATAGTCTAAGTGTATAATTTTTTAAAAGCATGTTTATTTAAATGAGAGTTTTTATGGACCCATTTTTGGAAAGAAGGAAGAAAGGAAGGGAGGAAGGGAGGGAGGGAGGAAGGACAGAAAGAAGGAAGGAAGGAACGAAGGAAAGAAGACATAAACAAGAGACTGTACTCCCTATCAGGCCCCAAACACATGGGTTGTGGGGCAAAAATGATGTCATCCTAGGTGCCAAAGTCCTGTAATCTAATTAGCATTAACGATCAAGCATTTCAACTCACTTCCTCATAGATGCGAGGTGCCACTAGAGTTATACATAATTTAGAGAATGTCTTGTTCCTGCTTATCTCTGTCTTTCTTGGGATGTATAACATGAGTGAGCAGCAACCTGTCAACCACCTGTGCTACTGCCATCACCCAATGCAATTTTAACATCCAGTCTGGTGTAACCTCCTCCTTGCCCTTTTCATCTATAAAACCGGATCCCTCCGCTGCCATTACAGAGCACTTATTTTGCACAGACAGAATCTATGTTTCCTGGGTAGCCAAGCTAGCTCTTGGATCGAATAATCTCCTTACACACCCTTACTTTGAGATTCTATGCTCTTAGTTTGACTCTTCTGGTGACCATTAAGGGACCTTACAGCAATCTTCCCCTTGACTTTGGCAGCCTTTCAGCACTTTGTATTAGCCTCAAACTCTGTGTGCACCAATCCCAGAAAAGCAGCTGAAGCTAAGGGTGAGTTTCTCCTGAGGTTCAGCGCTCCAAAAAGTTTCTGGCTGAGGTCGAACTCATTTGACCTCTAATCATCCTCTGTCTTCATGAGACAGAGAGGAGCTGAATTCAGTCTCCATTTCAAAAGCCTATTGGAAACTGACTTCCCTATCCCTGAATTAGGATCATTTAAATTCTTAAGGCAAGACTTTTTCTTACCAGTAAGGCTTCTTGTGTGCTTGGTTAAAGTAATTAAGATTGCTACAGCCAAGTTATTGTATTAGACCTTTCCTTGACCAAATCTGTAACTCCTTACCAATACCACAGGGCAACTCTGATCCAAAGATGAGAAATGTTCTCTTCCAACCCAGAAGGGGGCGCTAGACAGGTGAAACCTTAGTGCAAGAGTCAGGACTCTGGTCTGTAGCAAGCAATGGTCCTAAATGGCCTTCAGCAAGAACATTGAAGGCGATTTCAGTGCCCCACAGGAATTCAGTAACCTTTTCTACAACATTTTCATGAGTTGACCCGCTAGAACCCCTATAAAATGATAGCCTGGGGAAAACAATACTATTAAAAACCATCTCCTATACTTGCTCAAAATTATATTCCCATTGCACCATTTAACCTTCACATAACCCTGGAAAGCCCCTTCATGAGTCACAGGAACACTCTGGCTTGCCCTTGAGACCTTTCACGGTACGGCAATTAGGCTTTGTCCACTCATCGCCACCTCAAGGATACAAATGTGTTTTAAGAATGATTTATGTTTTCTCCCTTGGTTAAAGCACTCCCATGGCCCACATGGTAGGAAACGTCCTATTAGAAGAGGTTATTCCTTACTGGAGAACTCCACAGTGCCGAGAGAACACATTTAACTAGTCAAATTATTCAGTCTTTTTGTAACGCATAGGTAATTTTCCAACACTGACATTGTACATATCATCTTCAATTCTCTAGATCAGTGGAATTCACAAGTGGAATAGTAAAGATTAATTCGCAAAACTCATAGAATTTTTTAGCCTTCCCTGATCAAAGACTCCTCCATTGATTATGCACAACCTTTCTTCTCATCCATTTGAAAATCACGAATATTTTCCTGAACTAATAACAGAAAAGATGGTGCCTCAGGTAAACTAATATATGAGCTATTTTTCCTCCAAGGAAATATTCTTCACTACTGTCGATGTCTTATTAAAATTTTTACCACAAAAAAATCATAAGTAGTTAAAGACTATTTTAACAAAAAGGGCCCAGGAGACAAAAACCTGGAAACTGTGATAACTGGAAGTGACCTCAAATAATGGACTCCCTACACCTTCACTAAAAGAGACCCTACGAGGTATTATGAGGCAATCTGTGTTCAGCAAAATTAAAATTCGTTGCCCCCGGATTCATATTCCTCATTTTAAGGAGGCATCATTCCAGACTGGATCACCAAACCCACTACAGGCTTTTAACACACAACCCAGTTCTACATCTTTAGTATCAGAACAAGAAAAAGTCAAAATCTGACAGCCAGCTACTAGCCAGATATAAGACCAAAATTACAAGTACTTTTATGATGTTTTCCTACATGTTCTTGCTAACAATTAGGTGTATTAATTCATTTCACAAGTAAATTCCTACCAATCACTCCCTTGAACCTTAAAATCTGAGACATTTAACTGGCAACCTGTAAACACGAAAAATATCCTTTAGGAGATATTCTAACTATTCATTCATAGGATAAATTTTATCAAGTGATAGTTACCAAGTAAAGTGATACTAATGTATCCATTTTGTTTGATTCTTATTTCTTAGGATATATTAATTACAAAAGACCTCACTTAGTAAAGAATTTCTAGCAGTATCTTATTGTAATTCTTTTCAACCCAACTGTTGTGTTGCCACTAATACTAATGACAAACTACTTAGAAAAATCCTAAGGACGATGCACAATATATTGTTGCCACATTCATGATACACTATAGCATATTTTGCCCCTACACCCACTATCCCCACTTTTGTGGTTAGAAAACCATTAAAAACACAATAAAAGCAACAATGAGTGTGTAACAAGAGAGCTGGAATCATCCAGTGGACAAGGATTCCCACACTAACTGATCAGAACAGCTGCGAATATCAGCAATTTTCACTATCAGTTCACAGCTGAGATTGAGGCAAATTTCATATCCAAATCCTGTTAAAGGCAAGGAAATGGAAATATTGCCTAAAGAATATATTTGTGAAGTAATAAATGGATTTTTTATTTTAATAGAATTTTCTGTCCTGTCTATTTCCAAGTTCTATCAGGTAATATTTTACTACAACATGGCATCTTGGAATTCTCTTTTATTGGCTTATTTATTGGCTCTGTAAACTCAGGGATATATATTTAAATTTAATATATCTTCACCAGACAACATAAATTGAAAACACATCCTGCTAATCCCAGAAGCATCAGGATTTAGTTACAAGAGATGAAAAGTGAAAAAAGAAAAAGGCAAACGCTGACTTGAAAGAAAATTTATTGTTTTCAGTCTTCACATGCTTTGGGATTCTTTTCAACAGTCTGAAGAAAATACACATTGATATGAATCCTAAAAAAGGCAGATCAAACACACGCCATTGGAAAAGACCTGAGGAAAGCAAACATCGCATACTTGTTCAAGTGGCTTGGCTTAAAGGAAGAGTGAAGAGAGAGAAGGAGGGTAACAGGTCTGGGATACAATATATCCTTTGCCCTTTAATTCTTCGGGGCTACTCCTTTGTGCTTCTTACGTTACAGCCAGGCCATCAGCAGCCCCCAGACTTCTGTCTGTTGCAGCAGTTGCAATCACTACTGCAGGTGCAGTTACTGCCACAGGTACAACGCCCCCCACTGCCACTATTGCAGCAGCCAGAGCTCTGGTGTCGGCGACGAAGAGATCGGCGGGGCCTGTCGTGGCTCAGGCAGCAGCCGCCACCTCCGGAGCTACAGCAGCCCCCAGAGCTGGAGCTACAGCACGAAGAGACTGGAGGCGGGCATGGAGCTGGGCACTTGGGGGTACTCTTAGGGGGACACTTAGGAGGAGGCTGGCACTGCTGCTGGTTCTGCTGACAGGACATCTTGGTGAGAGTTAGGAGACCCTAAATGACAAAGTAGAAACTCATCAAGTATTCAGTACCCACAACATTATATTTTTCACATTTTTGAAATCCTTCCCAAGGGTGATGGGGAGGGACAGCAAAAACATGTAGATATGCAGACACCAAATTAAAGTAAAAAGCACATATTCTTCACTTTTACACTTCCAGAGAATTCTTAACACCATGAGTGGATAAATCTAATAATATTTGAAATATTGAGATTGATATTTCACATTATTCATAGTATTTTAAGGATAATTTAAATCCATCACTTTCTAGGCATACCACTAGGCATGGGATTCAACCATGCATAGCGCCATCCACTCCTAATGTATATAAGTATAAATTTAAGTCTATATAACTCAAGCTTCCCTCACAGTGCTGAGCTCAGCCACTGGAATCACCTGCGCTTTATCTCTCAGACCACAGCAGTAACACCTTCCAGGATGGCTCCTGCTCTCTCCAGAGCAACCTGTTGCTCCTGTCTGTCTCCCCTTGCCTACTGTCCTATCCTACTCGCTCACAGTCCACCACTCCCTCTTCCCAGAGTCTCTCTCCAGCCCCCTCTCCATCCTCCTCAGCTCCCTCTTCTAGGTTCCCATAGTAACACTCACTCTGATCTCAGACACGACCACAGATGTGTTCCAGAGGAGGAAGAGCAGATGAGCAGCCAGCAGCAGGGACACATTTCATATTAGACCGTAGGGCTGGGCTTTAGATGAGCCATGCATCTGGAAGGAGCAGCATGTGACTGTTGCATAAGTGGAACACATGCAGAGCTGTTCCTGACTAAACACTTCCTCTTTGTTCTTTCCACTGAGCTGGGTCTGGTGATGCCCCGGCTGTCCTCTTCGACTCATGGCTTTGGTGTGGAGCAGTAGCTCTGTATGAGGCATTCTGTAAGTCATATCTTTTCCTCAACTGTGACCTAAGTTTGGGGAGGAAGCTCATGTCTTTTTCTTTTTTTTTTTTTTTATTTTAAAGAAAAAAAAAATAACCACAATAAAGACAAAAACAAAAAAACAATAGCAATGATACAGAATTTCAAAACAAAATGATAGAAATTAACAATTGTTGTTCCATTACATATTGTTATCTCCAGCAAAGTTGCTCAGGATGCAACTAGAGACCATACTCATAAGTCAAATATATCAGACCTGCATGTGTAAACATTACATTGTCTCTCTAGTGTAAGAACCTGAAAGAGTATAAAATTCAACAGGTACAATAGAGAATGTGAAAAGGAAGGAAATTGCTCAAAGGGAAGGACCAACTGGAATTATAGAAAGGAGAAAAGAAAGAAAGAAGGAATGGAAAAAAATATACATATACAAGGATAGCTGGGATAATTGTACTTCTGATGTGTCCATTTGTTTGTTGAAAGGAACAGTTAATGCTTAAGGTTTTTGACCAATTTTTCGTGCTTATATCTTGTAATCTGAACAACTAATTTGAAGCCAACAATATATAATATAACAACCATTGCTGAATTCCTACCATCCTGTTTAGGGAAGCTCTGTATCATTTCTAATGTTTTTTTTTATTACTTTTTATTCTCTTTAATTGCTTGATCATGTCTTTTTCATAGAGGATTCTAGTACCGTGTTCACTGCCAGCCCTTTTCTTGGGACATTGTGCATGCCCTTCTTTCTCATCTCTCTTCTGGAATAATTGTCACAATATCTTATTAAGATGTATGAAAAGAGTTGCCCATTAAGAGAAATTTTCTACAAGTTAGAACATTTGACACAAAATCATTTTTTTTATTCTAGGTACCTATGGCTTGGAGTAGAAATGAAATTTTGTTTGGTTTAAATGATGGGATGGATTCCTTCCACACACTCATATTCTCGTATCTTTTCTATCATAGATGAGTCTTTTCCATCAAAAGAGCCTTTGGGCCACCTGGAGTTCAGCAGCTTAAGGCAAAGTTGAGACAGATACTATTAGGGTCTGTCTTCTCCATGCTCCACGCACGTCTCATGCATTGTCCCAAGTCCAGTGATTAGCTGGAGAGCCAGTTGTGTGTCTCTTCACATTTCTACATTCACTGTCCTCAAGGAACATATATATTTTTAGCAGAAATCTTATTGTTTATATTTGGTAACATACCATTTTTTTAGGTCTCAAGCCACTCCCTTGGAGTAAATATTTCCCTTATTTTTAATTAGTTCAAGTCCACCCACCTATCTATGGAAATAGATCCCTTTCCTCAGTGAATCAGAATCTTTTATGTAGACTTATCTCTAAGAATTCCCCATAGTGGATCACACAGGCTGGTAAATTGTACTAGGATTGACCCATGGAGGTGAGGATATCAAGTAGTTGTATATGTAAAAGCATCCTGACTTTTGTTGAGAGTTGTGCTATAATCCTGTCACATGAAGTCCATGAAGAGAAACCTGCTCATGCTGTCTGTATTTTTACCAACCTCATAACCTTTCTTAGAAAATCTTTCTTCCACACTGTTCCCCCACACCATCACTTTCTCTCCGTATCCTCCCATCTCTCCCCAGATGTTGTGTATACACACACATATGTACACTCAGGCACAGACATATATAAAATTTGGAAACCATCCAGAAAACAACTGAATTTTTCTTAAAATATGAGAATATGAGTGTGTGGAAAGAATCTATCCCATCATTTAAATCAAACAAAATTTCATTTCTACTCCAAGCCATAGGTACCGAGAATAAAAAAATGACTCTGTGTCAAATGTTCTAACTTGTGGAAAATTTCTCTTAATGTGCAACTCTTTTCATACATCTCTTTTGTCATGATGTTCCAGGCCAGCATCCAGCTGTCTATGTACTGAATGCCCCCAAACAATGAGCTAATTAAACTTTTCCTCTTTAAATTGTGACAAGAAAGCTGACTAACACAGGTATACTTATTTATTTACCTTCTAAGAAGGCACTGCTAGAAACATCCACTAAGGAAAACAGATGTGTAATAAGGACATTGCTGCTGGTATTGATGATGAATTTGGTAACTATGATAAGAATGATAACTAAATTCTAAACCTACACTTCCTTCCAATATCACCTAAAGGTAATTCCCTTTGTACTAATTTTTTCCGCTACTAATTCCCAAAGCCCGTGTTAGGGTGTGGTAGGAAAACGGTTCTCTGGCAAGTATCACTGTAAGGATAATTACTGTCACACCCTTCTTTCTCTGCTCATACAATACCCCAATCTCATGGCATTCAACATTCCAGTGCAAGTCTCAGGGAATCAGGAATGAAATCACAGGCTACAGAAAATAATTATTATAACAGACAACCTCCAACACCTCATGACCATCAATCTGTGACCAGCACTGCCACAATCCTGTGAAAAATATAGACAAATAACCTTAGTTTCCGTCCAGCTCCCTCTACCCCATAAGCTCACGGTCATTTTGGAAATAGAAGCAGACACACCTGAGAGGTTAAATAGTAACCTTAATCCTCAACACGAAAGCAAGCACAAAGACAGGCCATGATTAAAGGCAGACTCTGGGGTCCACACCAGTGAATCTTAGTACCTAGTCTTTAAAAATGATGCTGGGACCCCATAATAGAGCAGCTGATTTAGGGTATCTGGGAATAGAGTTCAATATCTATAGTTAATCTGTAGATAATCAGTTAATTGCAATGTACAGCCTGAGATAAAAGCCTTTGATCATTCTTGTCATAGAAGAAGAGATCCATGTCAGTGAAGAAATCTGTCAAGGGTTCCAGAGGAGACAGGAAAGACACAGAGATGGGAAGTTCACAAGAATGAGAATAATGGTTGTCACACTGAGTCCCAGTAGGAGACTAGCATTCGAAGGTACATAAAAGGCATTCTGTTGTTTGTCTTTGTTTGTATTGGTACATGCCGGTAAAATTAACTCTTTGGAAAACTGAGGCAAGAGGATCTCAGTCTGAGCCTAGCCTGGGCAGCTTAGTGACTTTCTTTTCTGACATTCTCTGAAAGTAAAAGGTAAGAAAGAGGTGGGACATAGTTCAATATAATGGCCTAGTATGAAAGGTTCAATCTCCAGTTCCACATATGTAAATATGAAAAGATGACAATATGTGTGTATATACTATAGAATAAATGTACATAAATGTGTGTAACATATATGTGCATATACATATATTTTAGAATATACGATATCAAAGTGTTATTTGCCAAAAATTATATTACACACTTAGAACAATTTTTAAATAATTTATTTAAAAATGTCTAAATTAGCAAGAAAACTCTTTAAATTGATCACATGTTATATGTAAGCAAAATGTGAGTGAAATTGTGAGCAAAAATAGCCCTTTACGTAAAGGTCACTAAGTATGAAACATTTAGAAATCACCTGAATAAAAATTATTTAGGATCCAGTTGAATGAGATTCCGAAATGACCTATGAAAGAGTTGATTTAGTCAGACTTGGATTATGAAGTTATGCCATTTTCTTCAAAGAGAAGAATAATTTTCCATAATAAAACACCAAGCAAAATGTTTGCATTTGTTGGAAATGTGGACAATTAATTATTTGAATTAATACAAACTAAATTTTATATAATGTTATAAAACACAGACAGAAATTCAGATGTTAAAAGTTGTGCTTACAATCATAAACACACACATGTAAGCCCTAGAAAGAACTAAGAAAAACAAGAGAGAAATTAAATGAGTTAGTATTAGTCTCACTGGAAAGTGGTCATGATACAGGAAGTAATTTTTAGAGACTTGCAGAGGTTCTATCCTGCCCTGTGTGTCTGGGTCAACCAACCCTCGCTCCCCACCCCACCACCACCCTAGCAGTTGTTTTGCATCCTTACTGTGCTTTTGCTACACTATATGAAGCTGGTCTGGTCTGAAGGTAGAACTGATTCTGCCTTCATTTCATACTGTCATGAAAGGGCTCCACTGAATTAAAGATTCCATTCTCAGTAGATTCCAAAGACTGTAGCTGAACAGAGGCTTAAATACAATGGAATAAAACACAATGTTGATCATAAAACTGGATCTGTATTAATGAGTAGAGCAAATCTGCATTCAGATATAAAGGACACTCATCAGCCAGTCACCTTTACGCAGCCAGCCCCCAGGGCAAAACTGACACTGACTCAACCACAGCTGTTCCTACCCACCTGGCAAAAGTGTCAGCTTCAAGTCAGGCTCTGGATAAATGTCTCCTATAAACACTATTTCTACACTCCTATTTTGAGAAGTTAAGTTTACTTCAGCTCCCCATGGAGCAAATTCACCTTGTGTATTTCTTCAAATATCGTCCTCTCGGCCAGTTCTCTGAAGGCTCATCTGATCCCCCTCCACCCTGCTTAGGTCCACTTGGGCTCCCCAAGACTCTCACCCTGGTTATAGAACTGGATACGGACACGTGGTCAAATGTCAGTAGAGTCAGAGCGTATGAAAATCATGTCCTGGGGACCCCTTTTGTAAGAGCCAAGCCTGACTTGCTGATAATCCAGGGTCCTGGGAAGGATGAGTGGCGTACAACCAGAGCAGGTGCCAGGTCACTCCTGATATTAACCTGCCTCCTTGTCCTGTCATTACTAGATGCAGATGATCCTTCACTGTTCCACCCTGAAGTTTACAGGATTTCCTGGCTGCCTTCCAGTGGAGGCAGAGTTCCCGGCTGGGCATTTCTCAGGACGGAGGCTCATAGACTAACTCTTGGGACCAAGAACTGTTTGCTCAGGTTACCATGACCCTGTCTCTAATGT